CGTCTTATGTTTTCATTATTTTATTATTTTTTTAATCTTGTCCGTCATATCGTTCATAAATTCGTTCATGTCCGTTTAATGTGTTTGTTGTTTTATTTGTTTAAATCATACCCATCTTATGCGTTTGTAATTTATCTGTTTGAATCACGTCTTATACGTTCGTTCGTGTATTGCTGTCTCTTATACACATCTTTCCTATGAATAGTTCTAGAAAAAGCAATATACTGGCATTAAATTGCGTTTATCCCGTCAATATTCATGGCAAAAACATGAGTTTGGCCTGATTATAATACAGTATAAAAGTGTATAGGAAATTTCAGAGGGTTTCGAGTCTTGGTATTCGACATTTCGGTTTTAAATTTTACAGAATAGCTCAATAACAAATGACAGGATATAGTATTAAAATTAATTCATAATAATGAATGAAACCTATGATAAAACATAAAAAAGAGACTTGTCGATAAATTACAGTACATCAAAATCACGAGATAAACCGACGCAAACAAGTAGAACAAAAACGTCGGAAAACGAACCCTAATTCGCGAAATGGAATCGTCCAACATTTTTTATCAGTACCTTGAACCACTCGTCGGCAACGCGAAGAGATTTTAATCCCCAACCACGCGTTCTAGACGGGTATACGCGTTGCTTTATTTTGCGAGGCTCCCTAAATATTCCCTTTTGTGCAATAATTTTCCTGGCTTCTGGACCCCATTGGAAGTAAGTCTAGTGGACAAACATGCATTCAAATAATTCTCTCTTTATACATTTTTTTATAATTTTTATGTATTTTCTCATCATTTTAATGTGTCATTGAATGCAAAATAAATTAAATAAAAATTAAACAACTTTTTAGTTGGGTTTTTAATTTTATATTTCTTAAAGGGTTTGCATGGCGAGTATCAATAACAAAATCATTAACTTTTGGTACACCATGTGTTAAAATACTGTACTATGGTTTTTGAGGTAACCACTGGTTGGTTGTCTCAACATTTCGGGAGATAGGAATTTTAGTTTACAAATTCTATGGTAAAGAAAATGTAATTTCTCATATTTCTTTCCTCTGCAGAAAATCAGCACAATTGGATGCAAGCAAAAAATCTTGGAAGGACCAAAAACATAAAAATAAGGATGAACAAAATGAAACTGAATTACCACCTAGGGATTTAGCTGCACGATATTTTATTGCTTGAAGAGGAAGAGTTCAATTTATTTATAAGAGAACTAAGCTTATAACTTGGTTTATATCATTTGTTTTTTTTAATTAAATAAATTTGCAATTTTTTCAAATTTTGTGTCTCATTGAAAAGTGATAACTAAAATTGTTATCATTGTGAAAGAGTTAATTACAGTAGAACCCCTGTTAAGGGGACACCTTCGGGACCAAAAAAAGTGTCCCCTTAATAGGGGTGTCCCCTGAATAGGTATGTTGTAGAAGTGGTTTGGTACAGTGGGAACGATATGATTTCCCAACCTCGACTTTGGGGTTTCAATCCCTCACTGTACTGTACATTTCGGGTGTGTCCTTGAGCTGAGGCACTTTATCTGTATTGCTTCTCCTATAATCACCTGTCTTGTTGGGCTCGTAGGTAGATCATACAGGCCCATATGGTACATGTTATGCCCTCCCAATTTCATCAAACTATCACTGCATGGGTTCTCTCCACCCAGGAGTATAAATGGGTACCTGCTGCGGTTGTCTACTCCTGCAATGTTTTGTGTTTACAAAGAAAAGGCGCTGTATAAATAATATAAATAATAATAATGATGTTAAATTATAACATTGAATGAATTGTTCTTACTTTGAGACTGCTGTAGTTGTTGTGACTCAATGATAAAAAAAATTAAGTGTCCCCTTAATAGGGGTTATTTGACCATTTGACACACTTAGAAACTGTCCCTGTCCCCTTAGTAGGCGTTGGCTGTAGTGTTAAAAGATATATTTCCCCTCGTTTCACGGAAAAGTGTCCCCTTAATAGGGGTGCCCCCTGAATAGGGGTGTCCAAAAGGAGGGGTTCTACTGTATTTGGTTTTTATATTTTACCAAAGATGGATTAATAATTATTGTTATGTAGGATTTAAAGTTTGCTTATATTATACACTACAATAAACAAAAGTAGAAAGATTATGTAAGCATCACTTGAACAAGATACAAGTTCACAAAATTTGTTTATAAAGATTTTGTAGTGAAGACATTGTTTTTTATTTTTTTACACCCTGTTCCCAATCATGGTAATTAGCATTTTAATATTTTTATATCAAGATATTAATCAATTTTCTTTAAGTTTGCTTAAATTATGCCTTTTTTGATTCATCATGATTAATTAATGAGATAATTTCTAAAATTGTCAAAATCTGCTCATTAATTGAATTATATTGTCAGGCCTACCCATGTTTTTTGTATTTTTCTATTTGTTATTATTTGGTTACACCATTTGTTGTTGAATCGAATTGAATTTCATTCAGGATTGTATTGTAGTAACTATTGGTCATAGAAACTAGATGTGCAGGTACTGATGTATTTCTTATAAAATATATTTGAAATAAAAATGTGAGTGTGACTCATTCAATTTAACAATTTTAACTGCATCATTTGGTTGGTGAAAAAAATGCTGATTTCATGTTAAAATGTAATTTAACACAATTTGCATGTAGGCCTATTTTAAATACTTAAGATATGAGAGCTGTACAAACATCTAGTCCGAGTACCATTTTGAGGCATCTAGAGGTAACAAACTGTATGACCTGTATTTTCAACATGGAGGACATTGGTTGTAATTTCATTACAGGGGCGGAATGCGATCTTTTTTTTCCTATACGAGAATTGCCAATGAATAAGAATTAGGCAGCCTGATTGGCTGTTCTATATGTAACATGACCCCTTAAATTCAGTCAGGCATGCAACACGTATTCAAACACGGAGTAATTCTGAGTCGGGTAGGAACTGGGGGTTCCCATGCACCCCCAGGATATTATTTTTTTAACTAACATGTTTGTAATTGTCAATGTGTCTCATGAAAGAATTTTGATGTTCCCATCGAAAAAGAATGTCCCATGGGTTGTTTTGTGGCCATTTTGGCAGCCATCTTGGATTTTCAACGAAAATCATTAATTTTTATAATTCATTGACTAAAAATCATATAAAATCAAATGAACCTCTAAGTGTACATAGTAAGCAGTATTTATGTTCTTAATACAAACAAATTTACTTCGCAATACATTTGGCGGCCATATTGGCGGCCATAAGGAATTTTCAATGAAAATCATTAATTTGTATATTTTAATAACTAAAAATCAGATTTAATCAAGTGAACCTTTAAATTTACATTGTAAGCAGTGTTTATGTTCCCAATACAAAACACTGACTTCCCAAACGTTTGGCGGCCATATCGGCAGCGCATATCGGCAGCCATTTTGGTGGCCATCTTGGATTTTCAATGAAAATCATTAATTTGTATAATTTATTAACTAAAAATCATATAAAATCAAGTTAACCTCTAAATATATATAGTAAGCAGTGTTTAAGTTCTCAATACAAAACCTTGACTTTCCAATACATTTAGCAGCCATTTTGGTGGCCATCTTGGATTTTTTTTTAAATCATTAATTTAAACTAAAATCACGTTTGGGAGGATCTTCGCAATAGGGGTTTCTGAGCTGGTAGAACTATTTGACCTTTGTCAACCAGTTAACTCAATCCGGGGTTTTCGACCACCCTTGGGGTTTCGGAGAGTGTAGAACTTTGTGTTGGCAAAGGCTCAGGGTGTGTTACCTTCCCTTACACTCAAATAGTCGGCATGACAATAGCGCACAAACACGCACCAAATAAGTGGGAGGACCCAGCCTCTACACATCCATTTACATGCTTAATCAACCCACCTCTATTGATTTTTACTCCAACATGTTCACCCACGACAAATTTTCTCAAGTGCTCTACCTTACTGGCAGTGACCACTTGTTTTATATGCCTTAGGGTTTAATAAGACAAACCTTATTCTGGGGAGAATGCCCAAACGACATATGAAATGATTGCCCTGTTATAGTCTGCAGTGTCACTCTATATGACAACAGAAAGTTAAAAAGTCTAAACATTCAAAGAGAACTTTTCTCCTCCTCCCTGTAAACTTTCAATCAAGTACTTCTTAGTGCTTTCTTACAAATTTGAACGCTGCACCATTAGATGCTGGATAATATGGAGCAACCAATGTATGTTGAATACCATTTCAAGTAAAAAATAATTCAACTCTTCTTATCGGAATTGCGGTCCATTATCTGAAAGAAGCTCAATCGGTATGCCGAACATAACAAGCCAGTTTCTTAAAACATTTACGGTTTTACTATTAATAGTGTTGTTTGGAACAACTAAACACACTACACTCTGAAGAAAGTGATAATATTTTTTGTAAGAAAAGGATGGTTATGGAAATTTGATTTTTTACAGCCGAGCATAAAATAAAATAATGGAATATCTAGTGATCGTCCAACGTCCAGCCTGCAATTGAATATCTTCCTTCTTCCTTCTATTATAACCCAACAGTAGTTCGGTGAAGGTGGAAGGATAGGTCGACTCCACCACCCTTTTCCACCATCACTAGGCTTGGGGCATCAACATATTTAAAATCATTTGAAGTTAGTTCAGACATAGGTTGTCTCTGCTAGGCTTCCGTGTAGCCACCAACCTCATAAGTTTTGAGAACATACTCCTGTCAAATCTCCAATCTCCATGGATGGTGGTTTCCTCTGACTGCTTCCGTGGCTCCTTGATGACAAAATAGTTTGTGAATGGCTGGTTGATAGGGTAGAATTTGGAAAGAGGGGTTGAGATTTGGAAAGACTTCTTCACCAGTACTTGAGACAAAACCACCAAATCCTGGAACAAGTTGTTTCTCTACGTTCCCCTCTGCACGTGCCAGTAACATATGATACTCTCGGATGCACTCTGCAATTTAGCGCAGGCAGAATGAATGCAGCTCCCAACATGACATATATAAACTGATGCCATGATCTTGGCCATATCCACTCTCATGAGTGCATCTTGCCTCATGCGTAGACATTTAGAGTCCGGAGCATTTTATCCCAGTTACTCGGGTTTGAGTTTGATCTTTGGACGCTTCATGTCTACAAGCGAAGCAAATTGAGCTCCTTGAAAGGGGATATGATCGCGACCCTGGCACCAGTTCAGGTTGTGCTGGGCCCAAATTTTCTGGGGGAACTGTATTCAATCTTTATACACTGAACAGTATAACAAAGTGCATTCGAGAGTATCATGTCTGGTTACTTGCATATTGTTAGCAGCGGAGAGAAACAACTTGTTCCAGGATTTGGTGGCTTTGTCTGAGGTACCAGTAAAAAACTCTTCTGAAAGTCAACCATCGCCAGTATTACCCCTATCTACCAGCCATGCACAAAATGTTCAGTCATCTATGGAAGCAGTGATGCCACTATGGAGATTGGTCAGGAGTGTGTTCTTAATACTTTTAAACTTGGTGGCTGCAATAAAGCACCCACAACCTATATCCCAACTTTCAACCTGTGAACCATCGGCTTGGTTACTTCAAGCAAGCTTATAGGCCGATATTCTGTTGCAACAAGTTTTGTGATCTTTCTTAGATTATTATGTACCACTCTGGTAAATTTTATGATGATCTCTTTTTTATGATCTTACTAAAAGGCAGACAAACAACAGCGAATGCATAACCTCCTTGGCGGCAATAATATTAATGTATATGTAGAGCGGGCCCTTCATTAATTAGAGTCATATTAAAGAATTACATGATTTTATAAGGGATTTTCTTTGAAAAACATCCACTAAAAAGTCTAATTGGATGTAACGGCATTTGTAGTACAATAATAAGTTTTATTGTGAGACTAAACATTGCATCTGACTGGTGTTCATTGGTGTGGATAGCATTTGTGAACAGGGAGCTTGAATCAAATTGGCCAGAGAAAATCATGGTCGTTGGGTTTGACCATTAATTTATAGTTTGTACCGTGGTGATTATTTTTTTATATTTTTTATACCATATATTAGGCCTATACCATTAAAAAGTGCTTTTTCACCAGGATCAGAGCATTTTGTATTACATTTTGAGTGTAAATAAAGTTACTTCTCATATTGTTGTAGTTTCAATCAAAAATCTAAATTCGTTTATGAGATACTTTGAGGATTACAAAAATGTTAGTTAAAAAATGTATCCTAGGGGTGCATGGGAACCCCCCCCCCCCTTTCCTACTAGACTAAATGCGAAGTTGAGCCATTCTTGAATAAATAGAAGCTCGAAACCTAGAGGGCAATTATTAGACCAGGGGAACAGTTGTAAACTGTTTGCTGATTAGGCCCCTAACACACCATAGCTTTTGATTTCATAGTATTACTACTGAATTAGACCTAGTAAAATATACTGTGTAAGCTGTCCCTTATACACCTCTAGATGTGTATAAGAGACAAGGTTACTTAGAAGTTCAATTTAGTCCAAACTAGATTTTGATTGGTCAAACCTGCAGCATCATTTCTACATTGACTGATTTTTAATAATCGTTTATTACTCATCTGAAAGAGACAGAAATATAGGCCCTACGCATTTTCATTTTGGTTTTATTTATTACAAACATATTCTTTCACCATCAATACACATTGAGGCCGGCCCTTCTTTTATGTTAAACGATCTATCTTAAATGTTCTTTCTATTTGAGTTGGGACTGCTATGTGTTCAATTATCTTAGAAGGTAAAGGAGCACAAGCACTAGTTAGGGGGCCTACTCACACTCATTATTTTTATTTTTTATTTTTTTATTATTTTTTATTTTTTTTTATTTTTTTTTTTTTTAGCTTAAGGCTTTTTCATTTTCATTTTGGTTTTATTTATTACAAACATATTCTTTCACCATCATTACACATTGAGGCCCTTCTTTTAAGTAAAACGATCTATCTTAATTTTTCTTGGGTTTTGGACTATTATGTGTTTAAATAACCTAGAAGGCTAACCCTAAAAGACCCTACAAAATGGGCGCGAAGCGCACAAAAAATATTTGTGTTTAATTCTATATTCGTCGGAATTTATCAAAACTCCCTAAAATTTGCAATTTTTAGAGGAAATCGGTCCACTTTAACAAGAAATCGGCACTTTCAAGGGGTGAAAGGGCATCTTCAAGGGGTGGGGAAAGATTTTCCACAGATGGATATTTTCCCCTTGTTCCCCGGTGGTTACACCACTGTGAATGAAGAATATTTGGCGGCTTAGATCGAAGGAGCTATGGACACATTTTTAAGTGGAGAAGGGGTTGCAGGGTGTGTTGTGATTCTGGTCATTATGATATCTTCCTTTTTATTCTTGTCTTTAGTTTTCTCTTCTCTTCTTCTTTTCTTTTCAGTCTCTCTCCTCTCTTTCTTTTCTCTTATTACCCAGCCCGGTACGACAGCTTGGTCAGCCAGGTAAAAACCGTTAGGGTCCCCCCCCCGCCTGTTACGCCACTGGGTGGGTATGGTAGGGGGTGTCTCCTCCTACCAAAACGAGATTTTTTTTATTTAAAAAATGGGACTTCTAGATGTTCTGCTTGACTGATCAGACCAGACGA